GGTAAACCAGGCGGTGCTGGACTATGAAAACAGGGAGTCGACACCAAAACTTGCCAAACTCCTCAAACTACTGCTGTGGGCTCAGAACGAGTTGGACCAGAAGAAAGTCAAGTACCCCAAAATGACAGATCTTAGCAAAGGCACCATCGAGGACCCCAAGTGAAAACGAACCGGCATCTCTATGTTTGCATTCTGCGGGGGAACAAAACGGACACTTTCCCTTTCCTTAACTATTTATACTCCGTGACTGACACTCAAACATCCTTTTATCAACCTTTTGTTTGTTTACTTGTTGCTTATCAGAGACTTTGCATTAAATGGGCTGTGGAACTGAGATTAAGATTTAAGGGTGACTCCTAGCCAAAATGGAAACACTTTTTATCGCAGATGGATTTCTGTGATTTTTGTTACCACAATGTTTGACTTGCTGAGCTGAATTGTTTGCATTTTAGCCATTTTGTTTTTGCAGAGGATTATTATCTATTTTGTCAGTGAATGTTCAGAAAGTCTACAAATATAGTTGAGGACTGAACCACACTATTTAGATTTAACTTTAACTGTTTGACTGTGTCCACTGATGTGAGGTACCTACGGCACAACAGTGGTGTCATCAAGGACAGTGGAATGATTGTACCAATGTGGAGAATGAGTTCTGTGTGCTTTCACAACTTTTATTTGCAGTGCACAAGTATACATTTTGTATGCGTGTTAAAGGGCCCTGTCAAAGAAAATCTGCCCTTTTTCGAGTACTAATGTTATTGCATTATAATGTTATAAAGTCATGTGACATTGTTTTCTACTGTACATTGTCATAGTATTACTGCTTACTTTTGTGATTTATAGATATTGCAGAGATCAAATTGTAAGCTTCTGAAGTCAGATGCTTTACATGGGTATTAAATATTCTTTTTTTAAATCCCCAAACTATTTGATTTTCAAAATTGCTGCTGTTGTTCAATGCTATGGCCAAATACTTATGCTGTGATGCCCAATTAAATGTTGAAGGCAGTGTTTTTAACCTAATCAAAATGGCAAATGAAAGCCCCGCTTTGGCTCTCTCATGACTGATTATGATAATTGTTTGCGGTTGGTAGGTAAAGACGCAAACCAGAAATTCAAATTCAAATGAGTCAGAATAAGAACATGTTATGGCAACTTGGAATTGTAAGACCCTGTAAAAGTCCATTTCTTGGGCAGTGCATGCTTGTCCAGGTGACATGTTATTAACTTAGACGTGACTATTATTTTCTCGTGTATAATGTAGCGAAATTCGATTACTGAACAAGTTGTTCTTTTGAATCGGTTCTTTTCAATTAATCAGATGATCCGGTTCACAAAGCGAGTCTGAAAGAGTCGTTCACTATTTAACTATTAATAATAATGACAATTTTCTTTATCAGACATGTCTGACTCATAATAAATAGATTAATAATTTGATTCAGCTGGAGTGAACCAAAGAGTTTACTGATGGAGTGAAAATAAATAGATTCGTATGACTGACATTTTATCAACATGCATACGAAGTTTAAAGAAAGTTAGTTAATTTAAAAGTACAAAACGTTTTCAGTCAATAAATGTAAATAAATTGTAATGTTTAAAGTAAAAGCAAATTATGTTTATGATCTAAAGTTTGTATGATGAGCTGAACCATGAGTGCAGCAAACTGAACTGGGACGCATGAATACACGTATAATAAACACCATTAAACCATAAAACTGCAAACTAAATCTTATTTGAACGTTTACAGTATTTAACACGCCGGACCACCCACACAGTGATGAAATTGACGTAAAATAATAAGGGAATCGTATTTGTGAGCCGTTTTTAAACGAATTGTTCAAAAGAATCAACTCGCGGACACGAGTCGGACTTCACATCACTACATCGGTTTGTCGGTAATAACTTCAACACCTTTAGTGGTGCTGCGTCTGCTAAACCTGTTCTTTAAAATATCTGCATACGGTTCTCAATTTCACATTCAGGTATTTTGCCCAAAGCGAAACCATGCCTGAATTTCTACTTCCTGGTTTGAAGAGCCAGTGGCTGGAGGAACTGCGTGGCTGAAAAAAGAAACTGACACGTGGATCATCATCAACACTTTAGGAAACAGGAAAAAGCTGAAATTCCTCCCGCTGCGTTATAGCAGCTGTGAAAGCCGAAAGTCCGCTCATTACGGCCAGTCGTCGGAGCGCAATGAAGGAGGAAGATATGTTATAAAGAGATGCTTCCGCGGAGAAACTGGAATAGAAACATATTTTTTTCATTGCTTTGCTTTTTTGCCTGTCACGCTCGCACAGACTGACCCGAGAGGATACCAGAGCGGATAGTCACAAACGGATATATTTGGCGTTGAATGGCAATTCTACAAAAACATGGAAAGAACTCCTGTCCAGATTTGGCCAGTATTAAGGAAAACCCCGCAGATAATATTGGACAAGCTGGATCACAGAAGAAGTGGGCAGAGTCGAGTCAGAACTGGACAAGGTGAGACCACCTCACCAAACCTTCCTCTAAATAATGTTTATTAATCGAATACAAATTAAGGTAATACAAATAAATACATTATTATGATAATAAAGTCTATTAATACATTATAAAAATAAAAGTATATAAATATTATGTACATAAATTCACTTTATTCAAGGACACCCAATCACCGTTTCAAGTTTAAATTTATTTTGGCAGCAAATTGTGAATGGTCAAAATGATTTTAATATTTTCATGTCAGTTTTTCAAATATATAGGCTAGTTATATCTCTATTTTTCCAGTTATTTAGTTTTGAAACATTTTATAACAAACTTTGTGAACTGTTTCATTCAAAAAGCGAAAATTAATAAGCATGTATTACACATTAAGTTAATTATACATATATTATACATACAATCTATGAGTGCTCAGTCACCATTTGTTCTACACCAGAGGATTGAAATAAACTTTGTACTATTTAGGTCATCTTCTTTTCAAACTAAGTGCATCAGCATTAGTCAATGCATCTGAAGCAAATTAACCTAGATAGGTACCTGCCAGTTAGAAATGTAATTTATGTGCTTTGGCTTGTAATAACTTCTCATATGAATCTTGTTTGGTGTAAAGATTGGAGGGTTGTATTTGTCTATCTGCAGGCCAGTAGCGAGGATATGGACGGTGGTGCTACCAGCCCATCGTCTCCATGACCATCTCCCGCTTCCTCATGGGCCTGCTGCAGGGTGAGCGATCGCACCCTCACAAAATCAGCTGAACTTCACACAACTGTGCTTTTATGCTTTCCAACTGTACTGATTGTTTACTTTCTAAGATCTAATGATACTGAATTTGCAATACTAGTTTAAGCTTGGAGAAAGTTACAAAACAGTATTCAGCTGTTCTCAGTGTTTTTCGAAATGGGGCTGTAGTTTGCTGGAAACTGCAGAAAAGTGCGGTTTGGGGAATCTTGTTTCATAAATCATTGCTTCCAGATTGCTGGCAAATTGCTAAATGTTCCCTCCTGCAAACTGTGACCCTTTTTTTATGAGAATAGGTCATTTGCTGTGGAGCAGAGCATAATTGTTCTGTGGTTGGCAAAGCGTTGAAATCTAGCCACTATCATGCTCTGCCTTGCGAGTTAATTATACTGTATGTCATTGTACTGCTGTTGTATTCTCTTAAAACTAGTGAAAGGGGTCTGTAAAAAGACAAGGGCCTGCTATAAAATATGCTATTTCTATAAAGGGTTTGACTTTGATTTCTTTGCCAGCGTAGATGGTGCCACAGTAGTGTTGGGCGATATGGTCATTTTTCAAATCGTCATATCGTCAGCCCGTGAGATCGACGATACACGATATTATAGTGCATGGGGGGGGGAAGAGAGAGACTCTCTGTACTTGTCATAGCATAACTATTTGGTGTTTTAAAAGCGCGCAGGTGCATGAGAGTGAGCCTATGGAAGCACCAATAATCGAAAAAAATATACGTATACGTACATACTGATAAAATATCATATTAAATATAAAAATATCGTATTTAAAACCGCTAGTTCATATATAGTCGGACACAACTGTCATACCGCACTTCCTGTGACAAATTTGCCGCATCGGCGCACGGAAGTTATCAGTCTAAATGTTCTGCAAAATCAGTCAACGGTGAAAATCAATAGTAGATTTCATTTAAAGACCAGCACTCCGGACCGTGCGCCCGAGCCCAACGCACCGCCACAGAAACAAGAATGAGATGCTTTCTAACATAACTGTGGCAATAAACTCAGTTAGTGAGGGCTTGGTTAAAATATTGCACATATATAGGCCGGTCAGATTACTTGTTAAAGTGCAATGAAATACCTTATATCCAGGGCCGTCCTTTGGGCGGTGCAACTGGTGCGGTCGTAATATTACAATACGATAGTACTTACACATTACAATACACAATCTCTACAGTACAGGATAAAAAAACAACGTGAATATTTGTAATGTGCGAGGATGGCCAAAATATAATTTAACTTCTAAAAATAAATATTAATTAATTTACATTTACATTTAGTCATTTAGCAGACGCTTTTGCTTCTACTAAATACTGAGCATTTTTCAGTTTTTCTTTTTTAATAAATCTGCAAAGATGTCAACAATTCTGTGTTTTTCTGTATGGATGGGGTGCTGTGTGTACATTAATGAGGAAAAAAAATTAACTTAAATGATTTTAGCAAATGGCTGCAATATAACAAAGAGTGAAAAATTTAAGGGGGTCTGAATACTTTCCGTACCCACTGTATATATATTATACACACACATACACACACACACCCACAAAGAAAAACTAGTAGATAGAATAGAAAAAATAGAAAGCTGCTAGTTTTTTTTATATAAAAAAAGAAGATAAATAGATAAAGTAGAATTAAAATAGAATAGAAAGTGCTAGAGTTAGAGGGTCAAATAAAGATGGAACAGATGTGTTTTTAGTCGTTTCTTGAAGATGGCTAAGGACTCAGCTGCTCGGATTGAGTTGGGCAGGTCATTCCACTAGGAATGACAATTTGCAATTTATTTATTTTTAAGGAAATAAATGTTTACTTAAAAATAAATATTTAAGAAAATAATTATATTAATAATTATAAATAAAAAATAATTAATTATTTAATGGTTACTACTACAACATATTTTACTTAGTGTTTTTTTTTTAACAAGGTGGTATAAATTTATAACATTGACTGTTTGTGTGTTATTAGTCATAATATGAAAACCGTAATAATCCACTAATGGCTATGCACTAAAAGAGTGTTTGTTTTCTTTCTGTTATCCTGTGGCGCTCAGGTGTTCACTACCCATCTCTGGCCAGTCTGTGCTCTCAGAAGGTTGTGGAGAGTGAGAGGGGCTTCCTCATTAGCACCGTAGGAAGCGGCTCATACCTGGGGTTAGTGTCGGATCTCTGACTGTGTCTGCTTTCTCTGTTACATTTAGAAATGTAACGGATGTCTTTCAGATTGAGTTTGTGTAACTGTGTGTATGTGTGTGTGTAGGACTCTGGTGATAGGAGGCGTAGGCTCTCTGATGCTGGACTTGTATGGCTGGGAGAGTGTGTTCTACGTCTCTGGGCTTCTGTCTGTGTTGTGGGCGTACTGCATGTGGAAGTATCTGCTCAAAGGAGAAGGTATGTCCAGAATATCCACCTTATTTTTCCCGTAAGAGCGGTCGCGGCCATTTGTAAAATGAATATGTCTGGCTTCTGGTGTCATCCACTTCCAGCTATTTTTAGCTGTACAAAACAGCTCGTTTTGCTGCTTGATATTGCAAATTGGTGTGTCTTACCATATTATTTTAATGTATTATCTTAATTATGAACACACTGCTTTAGTGCAAACAGTTTTACTGTTTACTGCACGTTGTTATTCTTTTGGTTATTTCCCTATGGTGGCTAATGAACTGGAAGTCTTGCACATTCACCGAAAACGGCTTACTTCCGCGTTCTGGATAGAATCACAATCATTCGTGAGCTTGGCACCTTATAATTTGATTTTGATTCTGAGAATCATGGTACAATTCCTAAATGATTCTCAATGCGTTTTTCATGTAGTAGATACATATTTTGGCAGTTTAATGTGTTTTGTGGCCATATACACTGACATTCAAAGGTTTGGGGTCAGGATGATTTTTTTCCTTAATGTTTTTGAAAGTAGTCTCTTATGTGCTGCATTTATTTGATCAAAAATACAGTATTTATATATATATATATTCAGTGGTGGCCAAAATTATTAGTACACTAGTATTTTCACCAGCTAAAGAAATGTTTTAAAATGGTTTTAAGTCAAAATTTTAAGTTAAATCTTTTGCTGTAGTGTGTCATTAGGAAATATCAGTTTACATTTCCAAACATTAATTTTGCCATTAATTGTAATAATCCAGTGAGATTTTTGTTTGCACAAGGAGTCTGACAACAGCCAGTGCTGCACACAGAGATCTGATCTGATCATCATCCAGTCTGTCTGGAATGACATGAAGAAACAGAACAACCTGAGACGGACTAGATCCAGAAGAACTGTGGCAACGTCTCCAAGACGCTTCAAGAAACCTACCTGCAAAGCTCCAGTACTGTTAAAAGTTGTAGGCACTTGACTTGTGTAAAAATGCTGTGAATATCAATCAACTATCAATTAACTAAATTAAATCAACATTTGGTGTGACCATCCTTTGCGTTTAAAGCAGCTTTGCAGGTAGGTCTCTTGAAGCATCTTGGAGACATTGCCACAGTTCTTCTGGATTTAGTCTGTCTCAGTTTGTTGCGTTTTATGTTATGAAACAGAAAACGGCTCTTTTAAATTGTAATCAGATTTCACGATATTAGTGTTTTTACTGTATTTTTGATCAAATAAATGCAGCCCCGGTGCACAAAACATTAAGAAAAAATCTTACTGACCCCAAACCTTTGAATGTCTGTGTCCATGGCCACAAAACACATTAAACTGCCAAAAATATGTATCTACTACATTGAGAATCATGTATATATATATATAGCAGCCATTACTCCAAATAATTCTAATATGCTGATTTGATGCTCAAGAAACATTTGTAATTATTACCTATGTTCAAAACAGCTGTGCTGTTTAATATAATATAAATAATATATATATAAACATATTGACAAATATATATAAAACATTATAAATGTTATTACTGTCACTTCTAGTCAGTTGAATGTATCCTTGCTGAATAAAAGTATTAATTTCTTTAAATGAATCTTACTGACCCCAAACTTTTGATGGTGTTGTCCTTTGTAAAAATTCCACATCGTAGACATTCTAAAATATGCAAAATATTTTTTGCCATGATTGCCTAATCAAAATCAAGTATTCTAGAGAGCTGTGTAATAAGCTAATGTCACAATTTAAGTTTCAATTACACTGTGTAAGCCATTTATTGTAGTTTGGCTAAAATGTGGGTAAATATTTCAGTGATAGTTAACAAGTATTTGAGGTGCAGTAGATGTGTATTTATACACTCCATGCAGAACAGAGACTGTAGCTGTGCTGTTATTCCTTCCTTAACAGGTGTTCAACTGTTTGTTTAAAAACTGATCGTGCTTGTGTTTGTCAGGTCCCATCATCACACTGGAGTCTCTGGGCAGCGCTGGGACCCAGTCCAAACTGTCCAAGAGAAACTGGCTGCGTCTCTTCAGACAGCCAGCTGTGTGGTGAGATTAGCACCTGAATACTGAGTGTGTGTGTGTGTGTGTGTGTGTGTAAGAGAGAGAGAGAGCATGGATGCTGAACAAAGGGTCTTTACTGAGCTCCCATAAAGGCCTGATTCACATCCGTTCCATGTCTGTCTATATATAGAGCACTCAGAAACGGTAACACAGTACTCTGTCCCGTCAGCTAAACATGAGTGTTTCTGACTGCACACATGACTTCAGGATGTTTTTTGTAACATTTTAGTTTAACAATTACATTATTGTATAAGGAAAAGTAGATGATAATTATAAAATTATTTTAAAATGCTGCTTATGCTTGAGTGTGCTTTAGAGGGAGTGCTCTAGCAGTAACTGTTGTTACTAATGTTGTTATTGTAGCAGTAGAGTGCTGCAGTGATGATGTACTTTTGTAGGCCAGCCCAGAAATTCGCATCACTCTGATTCCCTTGACAAAAACCCAATAGGATTTTTCCATTGGCTTTTGGATTATTGCAGGCAATAAGCTCTGTGACCAACAAATGTTTTTGATCCTTATACATTTTGTTCATCATGATAACCTTTACAAATGAACACCACTGATGAATTCTGAAGCCTAAATACAGTCACCAGAAGTAAAAAGCTAAATGTCAGCTATAAACAAACTACACTAAGGTCACGTGACTTCAACGCTACCATCGCTAAGCTTCTGACAACTCTTTCAGTCGTTCTGTAAAAAGCACACAAGACTGCCGACTCATGAATAGATAAGTTTTTTTTGCATTCTTAAATTACCCACTTTCAGTTTTAAAAATTTTAAATAACTATTGTTTTATTAATTATATAATATAAAATCCTGTACATTGACACTGGTGTGGATCCAGCATCATGCAAATAATGCAAAAAATTTTTGATTACTGATGCCATTGTTGAAATGTGCTATTAGTCTTGATTGGTTTATTCAACAAGCAAAAGTCTCTAGATATGGGGGTTTCCCCATTCTAATTTTTCCCAAATTTTAGTATTTGGTCAGGTGATCGCACTATGGCGGCACCCATATGAGATGACCTTATCTCCATTAAAGAGATGTAAAATAAAACCACTTTTATTAGCCTACTAATATGACTAGTGTCTTCATCTACATAATTATAAACATGCTGTGTTGGTGACATTGATTTCAAATGCATTCTAAACGCTCGTCTGAATTTCAGCGCCGTTATTATTACACACTTGTGCACCGCTAGCACCTTCTTCACACTACTGTCATGGCTGCCAACGTTTTTCAAGGACACCTTCCCTGATGCCAAGGTAAACTGAACTACGCTCTTTCAACAGCGTGTGAGAACACGATCTGTGTCAAAGCAAAAAAATATCAGTCTGTATACTATGATTTATCTCCTTCTATGTGAGAAAAACAGCCTCCAGTAATTAATTTCTGTGAAGGAGAGAGAGCAGGTCATGTTAGTATGATGCTGTTGTGGTTGAACTCCAACAGGGGGCTCCACATCGCATCACATCACATCAGAGTGTGTGTTAAATTCCTATTCGCAAAAGTGTATATCACATGCATTGGACTCGCCTATTGTTCATTGCCTGTTCCTGTGTATGTCTGCATGCGTGTTTCCTCAGGGTTGGGTGTTTAACGTGATCCCATGGTTTGTGGCCATCCCTTCTTCCCTGTTTAGTGGCTGCCTTTCAGACCATCTAATCAGGCAGGGTACGAAACCGCACATACTACACAAATACACTCGCCGTTTCTTGTTCAAAGATATGAGTTTGTATGTTCCTCATGTTCATGTCTTTTTGGTAGACAATTAGAAAGGCAATGAAATATTCCCTGTTCCTTAGTGTAATCTCTGTAATCATTGTTCTGTCGTGACTTTGCTCTTTCCCACCAATGTTACGAGTCTGTTTGAGTTTTACGGTGTTGTAAATGTCAAGTCTACATGATTGCAATTGACTTCTAAAACTGTTAAATGGTCCTCAGCTGCCACACTAATACTCTCGCTCCTTTCTTTGTCTTTTAAAGGTTTTGATACTGCGTCAGTTAGAAAACTCATGCAGGTATGTTTGAAATATACACTCTCTTATGTGCACCAAGGCTGCATTAATTTGATCAAAAATACAGTTGCGCTTTGGAATATTACAATATTATATTAGAATTTATTCATTCATTGCAAAGCTAAATTTTCAGCATCATTACTCCAGTCTTCAGTGTCACATGATCCTTCAGAAATCATTCTAATATGCTGATTTGCTTGCTCAAGAAATATTTATTATTATCAACAACGGTTGTGCTGCTTAAAAGTTTTGTAGAAACTGTGATATATTTTCCGGATTCTTTTAGAAAGTCCAAAACAGCAGCATTTATTTGAAATGGAAATCTTTTGTAACAATAAATGTCTTTACTGTCACTTGTAATCTATTTAATGCATCCTTGCTGTATAAAAGTATTAATTTCTTTAAAAAACTGTAAATATATTATGTATTATTGTGTTTTTCAGTTCTTCTCTATGGGCGTCTCCAGTGTGTTTACTCTGTTCCTGTGTGGGACCACTGCCTTCCCCACAGCTGTGGCTTTGGTGTCTGCTACTATGGGCCTCACCACATTCAGCCACAGGTAACGTCACTCACTGCTTACTCGTGCATTGAAAAAACAAAACAAAAACAAACAAACAGTAGATTGTTGCATGTAGCATGGTGCTAGGTGCAAGGTCATGGCTTGATTTCCAGGTCATGCAAGCTCTGATAAGATGTATGTAAAAGTGTCTGCCAAATGCATGAATGTAAATGTGACAATGTAATTGTCTCTCTCTAGTGGGGTTTCGGTGAATGTTCAGGATCTCGCTCCATCCTGTGCGGGGGCTCTGTTTGGTATGTAGCATACTCTCTACTTTAACCCAAACTGCGATTGCACACTTAAGGCTAACTATATTAGCTTTTACACCAGTGGACAATAACATTATGTTTATTAAAAGTGCATGCATCAGTAGGAAGGTTTTTTTTGATTGGCTGTCAATGGCTTTAATTGTTCATCAGCTGAAAAAAAAGCTCTGAAAGTGATTGTAGCCAGGGTTTTATTAGTATCATTAATACTTTTTATAGTTTTTATTAATATTTTGAAGTAGTTTTTATATTTTCTGTTTTAATTTTAATTTTAGTTTTTTAAATTCGATTTAGTCATTTTTTTGTGTTTTTGACTTTTTATTAGTTTTTGTTTATATATTTTTTATTCTATTTTTTTGTCAGTACTTAAACTTTTTTTCTAAGTTTCATTATTTCTTTTTAATTTTATTTTCAAGTCACCAAATACACAAAATAATGATCTTTAAAAAAGCATCATATGACCCCTTTAATTTTTTAATAGTTTTAGTTAACACAAAATTTTTCAAACTTTGTAGTTATTGTTAGAATTATCATTTTTGGTGTGCATAGATTTATTGTAATTTTACAATGAGCAATATGACTGTCTTTTCTAAATCTGTAATTTTTTTTTCTTTCAGGAGTAATGAATACCTGTGGAGCATTTACAGGTAAGAATAGTATAAAACATTGATATTTTATAAATGTAAATTTGATATTAATAATTTCAAATGAAATAAGCACTCAATCTCAGTTTTTAAGAGGATTGCCAGTGTGCTGTATGTGTTAATGCTGTTGTGTGTGTGTGTGTGTGTGTGTGTGTGTTTGTTAGGGGTCATCATGGTGTATTTCTCTGGGTATCTGATCGAGGCCACTGGCTCCTGGGCGTCAGTTTTTGGGCTCATCACTGTAGTGAACCTGCTGGGTTTAGGAACTTTTTTAAGCTTCGCAGAAGCTCGCAGAGTGGACATAGATCTAGCGAAGGGCCGTTACCACAGCATCCACATCTGAGAGCACAGATGACGGGAGCAGAGCAGCAGAAATGACAGACTCTGACAGAAACCTTTCTGAAGAGGGACGTACTCGGCAGTCACTGGTTTCTTCATTATGGTTCTTCAAAGACTGTTTGGCTTTTCTTTGGCTGAAGAGAATTTAGGAGAAGCTGTAGCATATCTGTTAAAGATCACTAGGAGCCACAGTATGAAGTGTGTTACTGAATATTTTGCATTCATTCATTTCTATTTCACCCTGTAGCACTTGCGTTGGTTTATGGTAGCAGTTGCTTTAATATCATCATTACTGCGACCAAAGCAGTTCAAAAACCTGCAATACACCGTCCATTTAATCAGATGAAGACCAAAAGCTAGAGTTCGAGAGTCTGATTATTGGCAGTGTTTATTAAATTATTATTAATACCATTTGTTATGGCATTGCATGACATTTTAAAATACCTCGTCTCAGACATCTCAGCTGTTTTTCACACTCCGAGTGTGATAGAGATTATAGTTTGTTACTGCAGAATTGGAGTTTGTCCCAGTTTGAAGAGCGTTACTGTCATTAGATGAAACATGTGCTAGGTCATCTTGTCATTGGCTGATCCTTTAAAGCATTTTCTTCGTCTCAGCTGTCTGCTGTTGAGAATGGTTTCTGATCTTTAAAGGATGCTTTTGTTTCAAACTGCTAGTTTGCTTTTGTCTTTGATTGATTTAATCATTAGAGACCTCTCGGTTGGTCATTTGCTTGGATCAAGATGTTGCACAATGAAATGAATGTATTATGGTGATAAGCTTTATTATGTAGACACAAGACCCTGAACATTATATCTAACTCGTAATTATTTGATCAAAAATATTTCAATTCAATTCATGCAACTTGATTATTTAACCTGTAAGTGTATAATGTACCATAAATCAAAATCTAAAGCATATTTCTGGTCACAAAAGTGCTGTAAATCTTCTATTTCTCAGCTGTCGCTGCTTTGAGGAGTAAAATAAAATGTTACTGCTTAGTTACGTTAAAGAAACTGAAGGAAAAGCAAGGCCTAGGAAGGCTTAGCTGCGCTTTAATGGTTCTTATGTCAGTGTGCATTAAAACAGGCAACACATTTCTGCTGTTATTGCAGGCCTATTGCTAGGGAAGATCATGGCAGATTTGCAAAGAAACAAAAAAAGACTTGAATTATTATATAACACTGTTCTCTGCATGGAACTCAAGGAAATTGTATTTTTTCCAGTACATTAGTACATAAAATCATAAGAAATATGTTCACAAAGGTTATTTGTGTATACATAGATTAGATATCACTGTGTGTAATATATGCAGTAGACAATATTTCAGAATACTTTTATATTTGATTTATATCTGATTTAGAGATTAGATTGAAAATGCTTATATGATCTTTGCTTTCTTAATTCATATTGTATTTTTTTCTGGATTCTGACCTGTCGTGTGTTCTTGTTTTGACTGATGCAGCTTTATAGAAATGCCATCTCTCATAAATATTGTTCCGTTCTATTTAATGCTGTTTAATTTGATCTTTAAAGTGTTATTGGTTTACAATAGACTGTTCTGCATAACTGGATTATGATTGTGGGGTTTGTTCCATTATCACAGCTGACAATAACTTGCATTAGTGTAGCGAAGAAGAAATTTTGCATATTTATTATGCTTGCGTCATTCCTTATAATTATTTCACTCAAGACTAGTAAACACGATAGATGATCTGTGAATTAATGCAGTGTCATAGCATCCTGAATTGAGGATGAATGATGTTTCACAGAAAACTGAATCAATACATATTGTGATCTTATTTTCAAGACAAATGTCCCATTAAAAAGAAATGTAAACAATGTAAATGTAGTATTCTGTATTTGTAAGCATATTTTGCTGAAATATAAAACTATATTTTAATCAAGCGGAAAATGTTTTGTGTTTTAATTTACACCTCCAACAGAGTGAGCCAACAGATGATGTGTTTATGTGCACATGTGTGTAAACAATTGTTTACAATGTTACATACTCCTGCCATTTTTTTTTTTACATTTTAATTTCAGTTTTACCCTTGTCCCAAATGTTTTAAAATGTGAAAATCCATAGTTGTTTTGTTTTGTGTATTTATTTATTTAACTATGATAATTACAACAAAGAGCAAGTCATCATTAAATCACTTTTTAATATTGTCTGAAATGTTTTAGAATAATTTTTAAGTAAGTTATGACTGTTATTTAGTTGTGCCATAAATTCCACAATGACTAGCTAAACTATTGGCAAACACAAAAAGGTATCATACTTGTTTACCAAGAAGACAACAGTGTCAGTTAAGAGCTTGAGAGGAAATCTGAGATAAAAATAAAGAAAATCAAGGTAAATAATGGAAGCCCATTTTAGCTACATAAGAAAATATCATACTTAAGTAAATCATAATTATGACATTAAAAAGTAGGCCTATAGAAATTGAGGTAGTCAAAATTGTTTTACTGAAAACCGAACCAATCCATATTGCTTGTAAAACAATCTAAATTATGTATTCTGTATTTGTAAGTGTATTTTGCTGAAATATAAAAGTATGTTTTCAAGGGAAATGTGTTTACCACACCTTCTTCAGAGTGATCCAAGACATATTGAAGTTGCACTGAGAGCCAGACCACCAGGGGGCAGCAGAGTCCAGAAAATAGTGTGGCGTAGTAGGCCTATCTCACTTAAAGGTTTACAGTCAGCTAACTGTGTCTGGCACAGAGATTTAAATGCTGAAAAGAGGCCTTTTATGCGCGTAATTGAAAGTGCGAGGGTGGGCATATGTGTGCGTTTAACTGGAGTGTCATGGCTAGCACCTCCCGACTGTTTGTAGCATCATTACACCTCAGTTTCCAGTCTGGAAACTTCACCAACTGCATCCAACCATCAACTTTCACACAGCCTCTTTAGTATACTTCAGTTCTGATCATCTACATATATTAACAGACACTTTCACGGAGCTCATTATTCCGAGCAGCCAAAATGTATGCCTGCAAGTAGCCTGTATTGGAAAGCCTAGTGCGCTAATGAATCTTGTAGAGCCATATTGCGGCAAATAGTCGTTCACACTGTTGTCGTAATTCCAGAGCTATATCAGCATGGATGGACATGCAGGTCTTCCTCTGCTTCTGTCGCAGATATATGGGATGGCACCATATGGCAGGTCGCTGCGTGCCATGCTGGTGAGTTGGCAATGTGTGCGTGTGCCAGGCATCCGTCACCCCTCTCACGGGACTCTCTCAGGTTACCATAGAGACAGATGGCGATGCCGCTTACCGTGGCGGTGGGATTTGGGGTGAGATCAGGGGCCTGGGGCAAAGTGGGCGACACTGTGTCACACTTGAAGATGAGAGGTGCTCCATGCGGCTCCAGGAAGGATCTGTAGGTTTAAGAGAACAGATATTTAGATTTCATGTTAGGTTTATTTTATTTGGTAATAGTTTATCTAATATATCTACAAGTTCTCAGTACAAAATACTGTATTTGTGGAACGTGCCATTCAGTAATTCAGGTCACCGAATGTTTAGTAACGAAAAGAGCATTTAGTTACTGTCGCACCAGTATTCATTGGGTATTTCCTCACTTTGAAGCACATATTTGTGTAAAAGACTGTAGTACTCTGAGAGTACTGCAGAGAACAATGTCCCCAGGCTCTCAGAGTCTGATCCGGTTAATGTCCAGATCATTTGAGTGATGGGTGACAACATCCAGATCTCTGCTGATGTGTGGATGCATGTTTGTTTGTGTGTGTGTGCGTATGTGCAGACAATAGTTCACAGTGTTGCATTCTCCTGCCATTTTACAGATTAAATTTTATTGTTTTATCCTTGTCACACAATGAAAATCCATAGTACAAATATTATTACAAAATAAATAAATGAATAATAAATAAATTAATGAATGAATGAACGAACAAACTAGGATTATCAGAACTATTTAAATTAAAAATGTATTGTCTGAAATTGATTTGTTTTAATTTTACACAAATTATGATAATTGTGTCATCATTTCCACAATTATTAGCTAATTTGACATTTTGATATATGTGAGAAAAATCAAGGTAAATATATGGAAGCCTATTTCAAGAAGAAAAAAAATCATGCTTGGATAAATTGCAATTATGAGATTAAAAAGTCATGATTATGATTATGAAAAGTTGGAAGTATGAGATACTAAGAGGTTAAAAACTGAAATGATGACAAGTCAAATTTGTCAAAAACAATTAATAAAAAATTTAAATTATGAGATTTTAAAAAATCACAATTATGACAAAGACGAAAATTATGAGATCAAATTATGACAAACAGTAAAAATTCTGACAAAAAACTATTGACAAAAGGTTCAAATTAAAATATTAGAAATATTATATATAATATTTAAATAATTATATTTAAATACTTATAACATATTCAAATAATATAAAAGATTATAAATATTTAAATAATTATATTTAAATATGTAATAATTAAAATATTATATATATATATATATATATATATAAACCATACATTATTTGAGATCTGTTGGAAAAGATATAGAGTGATTAAAATGGTCATCGTGTTCAGAAAAAAAGACTGAATCCTCCAGTGTTTTGTATATGAGAAGGTCTCATGCTTAAAATGCTTGCATTGCTATATACAGTTGAAGTAGGGAGAAATAAGGCTGTACGTGGGTTTTATTTCACATGTGTACACATGTGTTTATTAACACATCCATCAGCTTTCAATCCACATGCCACAACAGTCCATTATAGTAACTACATACTACATGCTGTATAAATAAATAACAGGTGAGAGATTGATGATGTTTAGCATAGACATTTAACAGTAATTTAAAATCTATTGTCAATCTAATCTTAAAAATATAAATGATTCTAAGATTAAATCTTAATTTGTCCTATTACTAATCTTTTTAATTAGTTTGATTTAGTGAATTTAAACAACATCAAACCTGAGGTAGGGCACTGTATGTTTTCGGGATATTATTGAATTTAACACAGCTGGTTGTGACATGCCATAATACCACAGCTTTTACATATCTTAAGGATCGTGGCAAAGCCCTTAATTAACTCACGCGGGAAGTGACAGAGGAACAGCCCCCTGCGCGCATTATTGGTTTTCGTCGCAATGGAGGAGTAAAGAGCCTGTCAGAGGAGCGGGAGATGCGCCTGAGTGAAATAGCGCCGTTAATTACTAATTAACTTCAAGCTAATGACAATGTCACTGTGTCGTCGTCTCAACGAATGTCCTCTCCTTATATACACCCCCCCGCAAACTCAGACCTGATCTGCATGCTAATTAGTCTAACACATGCACTATTTAGTCTCCACAATAAAAATGAGTTATATTATAGATATCAAATCCATAAGAATACATTTTATTGCACTTTACGTTTTTTGGGAACACAGTTAATTTAACAATAATTTAATAAAGTATTTAGAGAACAAATTAATATTTTTAGAGGCTGCTGAGCACAAAAAGAAAAAGACTAGGAAATATAGTCACAGCATAAATAAACCAAAACAAAGATATTCTATGACCAGAAGAAAGCTCCAAGCTCCTACTCTCTGTCTTTCTCTTCTGTTAAAGGCTGAGCCCTGTGGCTATAAACTCTTGCTCCACTAACTAAATTACCACATCACTTTGTTTTGCGCTCCCTGTGGAGCGACTCTAGTGTTGCTGATCGCCAATCATTTCCTCCCGCTCACATCTCACACAAACGCGCGCGTGTCCAGATATGTTGATTTCTGTCAATTATCTCAGTCAGCTGTTGGCCTCCTGGTCAGCATATGGCCGGCGTTACACACACTGTCCTGCAGCTCGGCACAGAGAGGGACACTATTTTAATGGAGCCCTCCGGGACAGGACCCCACACCTGCGCTCACGCCATGATAAGGAAGTGTCAGTGAAACACCCATATAAAATATCAAGAGGTGTTGCAAGAACTCAAAACATTCTTAGTGTCTCAATGAAGCCTGTCCAAGATATTCATGAATGCCACCTCTGTAGATACACTAGTACCATTTGGCAATGCAAAGAGCGAAAATTAGACAATGAAACCCTTATTATCCTGCTTTTCCAACAGACGAAGAAGCAGAAAGCTTCTGAAGCCAGAACGAGGGTAAACAACAATTTGATGCAATGCCCAAGTTGCTTCTTTTTTGTTTGACAGGTAATATCATTTATTATTGTGTATGCCGCTATAGTGTAATTTCAGTGCAATTTACATAAATAACAGTGAATCTGTAAGTACACCAATGCAAGGATGGCTCCTAAAATAGGGTGCAAAAACCATAAAGTAGTATAAAAGTTGTCCATACTTTGTATGAGAAAGAGAACAAAATTAAAATCAGTGTTTACTGATAATTTCACCTCCAGTGAGATATTAAAGGAATGGTTCACCCCAAAATGAAAATTTGCTGAAATATACTCACCCTCAGGCCATTCAAAATGTAGATGTTTGTTTTTACAGTTTTGAAGAAATTTAGCATTATTTCACTTTCTCACCAATGGATCCTCTGCAGTGAATGGGTGCCGTCAGAATGTGAGTCCAGACAGCTGATAAAAACATTACAATAATCCACAAGTAATCCACACAACTCCAGTCCATCAGCTGATGTCCTGTGTTAAGCTGTTTGTAATAAAGAAATTCATCATTTTCCATCGTTAAGGCATTTTAAATTTAAACGGCTGCTTCTGAACAAAATACAATAATCCATAATAACACTTACTCCAGTGAAAAAGTCCATCTCCAATTGTCCTCTCACATCAAAATCTACCAACATATTTGTTTAGAACTGTTTCTGCTCATAAATGGTGCTTGATCTATGCATATTTCTCACCTGATTCAGATGAGATGACTGGAGAAAGCAGTTTTAAGTTCAAAATGTGCTTTCATGA